GGACATCCAAACTGGCTAGGCTCCCACAAAGCCAGAACATGAAGTAGGATCAAAACCCAGTGGCATTGTCCTTGGCTTCTCAGCAGCCCTCATTGTCCGCCATATTCAGAGAGTCCGGTTTTATCCCATGGTTTTTCAGTCGTAGTCCAGCTGGCCTTGGTGAGCTCACAATAGATCAGCCCCACTGTCTCCGTGGGTGGGTGCACCCCTCGTGGTCCTGACTTCTTTGCTCATATTTTCCCTCCTTCTGCTCCTCCTTGGGAACTATCTATTTTTTTTATTTTTATTTTTTTATTAAACATTTCTGCCTCCTCCCCGCCTCCCTTTTTCCTCCCCCTCCCCCACTCCCCATCCTCCACTCCCCTCACCCTCCCTCTCCAGTCCAAAGAGCAAGAGCAGTCAGGGTTCCCTGCCCTGTGGGAAGTCCAAGATCCTCCCCCCTCCATCCAGGTCTAGGAAGGTTAGCATCCAAACAGGCTAGGCTCCCACAAAGCCAGTACATGCAGTAGGGTCAAAACCCGGTGTCATTGTCCTTGGCTTCTCAACAGCCCTCATTGTCCGCCATGTTCAGAGAGTCCGGTTTTATCCCACGCTTTTTCAGTCACAATCCAGCTGGCCTTGGAGGTATTTCACTGAGGCCAGTGAGATGCCTTCCCTGTTGGAAACCCAGGAAGACCAAGAGAAGGGTGAAACTGCTTTCCCCCAGGAAGGTGCTTCCCACCTGAGCTACAGGGATCTTTGCTACTTAGGAAATCTATTGCTTTTAGTCTTCAGAGTAACTACCAGTGTGACTAGATTCTGGTGGCTGGTTTCCCATCATCCTGAATTCTGTCTCTCTGCAGTTTCTTGGGAGTAGAAGTGGCCATGGCTCTGCAGTCCTTACCTTTGGAATGGCAAATCAATGGACCCCTGAAAGCCAACCAGAGTATTCAGGAAAATTGACCTGAGATGTGGTCTTCAGATCGCTATGTGAGGGACCACCACATACATGTAAAAATCTGAGGAAATTATCTTTAGTTAGAGATCCACCCTCTCACCCCTTGCTGGATGGAAGGAAAGTCATCGGTAGTATTTTGCACCCAAAGCTCCTTGCACTTGAAGAAAACAGAGCATGGTGCATTTGTAATCATGATTTCATGGCTAGAATCTGCTGCAGAGACAACCAGGAGATTAAGGAAGTTGCTTTCTGCTGCTTCTGCTGCTCTTGAGTTCACCAGATAAGCTAAAAATATATTGTGTATAATGCTTTTTGTTTACCAGATATAGCTATATACTTCAGAGATCCTGTCCTTGAATTTTTAATAGCTTTACTGGGATTAAAAGTCAACACTTCACTATACAAGCGCATTAAAAAAAAAATCTTCCTGAAGTCTGAGTATTGTTGCCAGCTAAGAGACTTCAATTAAAATTGTTTGCTGTCTTTACACGTTTCCTTCCCTGTGTTTTCCAATGGCAAGTTGCGTTCCATCTCCCTGAATTCATCCAACAACTGATTTAAAAAAAAATAGCTTTGGTTGAAATGTTTAGCTGATAGAGAAATACAAATGAAGAAAAGGGAGAAGCAGATGGCCCCATTGTGACTGAATGGGGAATTGTGTGAATAGGTGTAGGCTAATAAAACACTCAGCCACCTGCTGCCTGAAGCCTCAAGAAGACTCTGTTGCTTGTTCTGGGGATTAGCTATTAATGTATCTTTAGGTTGATGGAAAACATCAGCCGTGAGAGGCTTAAGATCACTGTCCCTTTGCTTGGCTTGAGTTGGCTTTTCTGTATTTTAAATTGTTTCCCAACTCAATTTATCTGCCCAGGGCTGTAATGAAAAGATTTTTGACACGTGGTTAGGCGATGGAAGGGTAAGAAGAATAAGGTGGTGGATGCTTCTTTTCTACTTTACGCGGTGGGGAGGGTCCTTCCGCGGGTTGCTGCAGAAGCAAGGGGCCCAAGGTGTTGACAGGCGTAGATAGCTATGCCCTTGCTTTTCCTCTTTCAAAAGCCACTGCCTTTCTCAAGTGAGAATTTGCTTTTCCCTCAGGGATTTACTCTTCAACCCGACTATCAGACGATTATCAACCCTACATCTACAGCCGCACAAGTTGTCACCCAAGCGATGGAGTACGTGCGCTCTGGGTGCAGAAATCCTCCCGCACAGCCGGTGGACTGGAATAACGAGTACTGCAGTAGTGGGTGAGCTGCCGGCCCTTGTCTCACAGCGCGTGCGCGCCTCTTTGGCAGGGGCCAGGGTTCCTTGGGACAGGGAGGCTTCAAGAAAGTAAGGTCCGAAAACATGGGGAGCCAGCTTCTAGCCTTTCCAAGACTAAAAGCCTTCACGTTTCCCTTTGCTATGGACTTAGGTCCACTACCTGTGCGCTCCCCCACCCGACCTTACCCCGAGCTAGAACAAATAGGACCCTCACCCCACCCCGGCCCCACCACCACCCACTGTGGCTCTGATTTTCTTATAAACAGTGCTTTCTCTTCACACAGGGGCATGCAGAGGGACAAAGCGCTGTACCTCACCTGAAAACCTCACCGCCTCTCTTTTCCACTGAGGAGTTCAGGGAAGTCTTTTCATCGTGGATTGCAGTTCTTCATTTTATTAGAAAATTCAAGTTGCTAAGCACTTAGGACCATGTGAGCTTGTGGGTCACCCACTCTGGAAGAAAATAGTCATGCTTCGTTATTATTTTTTTAATCCTTTTCTGGACATTGTTCCTCTTCCCTGCAGGAAGTATGGACAGTTCTGATTTCTGTTGGGTTTGCTGTGAAGTGCTGCGCTCTAGTAACTGCCTTAGCAACGGTAGCCGTCTGGGGTAAAGGTCCGGGGTTTTCCATTGGTTTTCAGAATGGGTGTTTATATGAAAACTACTAAAGACTTTTTAAATGGCTTGATGTAGCAGTCATAGCGAGTTTGTAAATAGCATCTCTGTTACACTCTCCTAGAGTATAAAATGTGACGGTTTTTGTAGCTAAACTGTAATCTGAAACTGGCTCGCCCCAGTTGGTTTATCTCACAGGGGGGTTAAATTGGCAAACATTCATATTTTTACTTCATTTTTAAAAAAAGCAACTGATTAATCTATATTTTCAAAATACTTGAAAAATATTCCCAAATGATTTTAATTTAAAAACAAATTGGCTTTGCCTTCTGATCAGACACAAAGAACCTAGTGTGGAGGAAAACGCAAACACATTTATTTTGTATTCCAGAAAAAAAAATCCTTTTTGTATCACTTTTGTGTAATGATTAGTAAATGTCATCTATCTAAGTCCTTTGATGTATAAAGCTGCCAAATGCTCGCCCGGTGTCTTCGCTGCAGAACCAGGTTGGGAAGCGCTAAGTGATCATCTTTACGGCTCTGTATTATTGTTTCCTCATACCGTGTCTGTATTTAATCTTTTTTTATGGAACTTGTTGCGCCTATTTATGAAATAATAAATATAGGTGTTTGTAAGTAAATTCGTTAGAATTTGAAAGAGGCTTCATTGATGTTTTAATTTTTGCTGGCAAGAGAAAAAAACAAAGTCCATGCTTGGTGTGACTACGCCAGGCTTGGTGTGAATGCGCCAGGCTTGTTGTGAATACTTATTTAGTTTTTACAGTGACATGAATAAAACCAAATCTGCTTTTCATTTAGTAGCAAATTAGAGCAACGAACCCATATTTCTGCTATCTTTTGTTAGCATAAATGAAAAACAGTTCTACTTAGCAACCTTCTCTTCTTGTACAATACAACAGAAAAATGGCCCAGAAGTCTCACACGCTCCAAGCCTAAACCAACATACACCAGGGCACCCTCTTCCTAAAAAGAGATGGTTCTCACGTCTCAATCCCAAAACTTGTGCTCCCCATTTAAAAACCAAATTCAAGTTGAGTCACCAAAAATTCCTCAAGTCTCATGCTCCTCGCGGCATCCAGGAAGCATTTAAGAATTGACCAAGGGTTCAGGAAGAGATCAAAAGAAGGCATAGTGTCTAGAATCAACCTAGAGATGTAAGGCGAGCTACCAGACAGCCAAAGAAATAAGAAAAGCAGCCGGAAGTGGAAGCTTTTGCTAGAAGTTGAGAGTCCTTCTCTCCTCTCTCTCTCTCTCTCTCTCTCTCTCTCTCTCTCTCTCTCTCTCTCTCTCTCTCTCTCCCTCCCTCCTCCTTTCTTCACCTTTCACATACCCTGGGGCCCTACTGAGATTCGCTGAGAGGGGTTAGCATAGCTTTTCCAGCCAAAGGGGGAGATGGGGATTGCAGCACATAAATTTATCTGGTTGGAAATCAAGAGAGAGTTGTTGTGTGGAATGTATGGGATAACTGCAGCAATTTCAATACAAATATATTATGTAATCCGGTCAGAATTAAAAAGACAAAAGGCGTGCTTGCTTTGGAATGGTTTTCAGGCATTGTACAACAGTGAATCACTCAGCATGTAATAACTAATAAATAATGCAGATCCAATGTTATTATTAAAATGACTGGGGCTGAGAGCTCGAGTTTTCCTGTCTTGATATTGTCTAAGAACTCACGTGACTAAGATCACAGTTTATTGCTTGACTGTTTAGTATTTTAGAAATATTCCGGCACTACTAATTAACTAATGTCTTCTATTTGTTACATTATAAAACAGGAGAGCTTTCTCCTGCACGAGGTGTAAACTGAGAAGTGAGGCCACCAGCTCAGTCAAGAGGTTCATCCAGGACATTGTCTGCAGCTTTTTCCAGCAGGCACATGATCGGGACAAAAGGAACAAATATGCCAAATGTGAAAATAGATTATCAATAAAGCACATGGCTGTGTTCTACTTGGAGATGCCTCAGATTCTAAAGGATGCGCCTAGTCAAATGAGGAATCCTATGTAAATTTCAGGCCAGAGATAACAGAGCACAATAGTCATTGATAGTTGTAATAGCTTCAGAAGTTCTTTTCCAAAACGCCAGGAGTGTGTCTCGCCAGTCAAAGAAATCCACCGTTTTTAGTTCTGCCATCTTCAGACACAGACAACGTAGACTCAACTAACATGTTACCCAGAGAAGCATTGATTCCTGGGTAGAGAGCCAAGACAGTCTAAGACTCAACAATGGTACTGAACATAACGTATGTTCACAGCATATCCCAAATCAGAATTCTTGCTAAGCAGAGAAAGAAAACAGTGTGTCAGTGAGTGCCATGGGGGGACTGGGCTGAGTCTTTAACCAAGGGAAAGAGTGATGCTCTAAAACCCCTGGAAGAGAGTGAGCTGACAACAGGAAATGGGAAAGGATTCTGATAATGGCTTGCACAGGATCCAATTAGGGAACACGGCTAAAGATGACGTTGTCTCTGAGAATAATCTTTATCCGCCTTCTACATGGACCCGTAAGCTATGCACAGAGCACCAGGATTAACAAAAGCAGTGCTTGCTGCTGTCCTAGCAAAGATTCACTGCGAATAAAGTTTCTAAACAAAAGGCAAAGCCTCGAGTGAGAGCCTCCGTCTATCTCCTTCTTCCATTCCCAAGAGTTGCCCCACCCCATGCGAAATCATTAGCTTGACCCTTGTGACATGGACAGTTTTCACCGTTTGCAAAAGCGTGAGAAGCCGTTTCAGACGGTCCACCTGAAGATGGAGGTAAGAACTGGAGGCAACGACGCTTCCAGCTGTAGCTTTAAATATAATTAACAAGGCAGCTTGAAGTACTTTACAAAGCACTAAGTGAAAAACACCCGAAAAGTAGCTGATAGGTTGCTTACACTTACCCCACTTAGAATCCGTCCGTGTTAGAAAAGCTATGACCATGAACGAATATCATAAACTGGATCAGTGCTGCTGTTAGAAGGAACTTGTAGATAGAAATTCACAACAACCATCTTGTCTACTGAAACACGAAAACAGTTACGCATAGCTGTTCTCATAACACTGTCTGTAGAACTGACCTACAGTAAGTATTTTTCTACTGTTAATTCTCACTTGAACGTGGGGATGGAAAGACAGCAAACTCCCTAACTCTGATGCTCATGGCTGGATACTGAAACAGTGGCAAAACAAAAGCCAAGAGCAGAGCAAAATAAGTCTAGCCTCTAAGTATGTAAATCAGTCATAGTCAAACAACTCCCCACCCCCACCCCCCGCCGCCTTCCTTGAAATTAAGTGGTTTTCATATCTTTTACTGGGATAGCACACAGTACTACATAGTAAATAATGTTGAAAATGGCAAGAAAACAGCTACGGAGCGGTGGCACACGCCTTTAATCCTAGGCAGAGGCAGGTGGATCTCTGTGAGTTCAAGGCCAGCCTGGTCTACAAGAGCTAGTTCCAGGGCAGGCTCCAAAGCTACAGAGAAAAGAAAAGCAAGCAAGAAAACACCGTAAGTTAACCTCAACATAAATTATATGATGTTTCCTTTTAAATACAGAAACAAATGAAATATTTGCTTAAAAGGAAGCATTATTAAGGGGAAAGGATGAAAATACTTCAGCAAGAAACCCAAGACTATGATAGTTTGAACACCTGGGGCATGGTGGCACGCACCTTTAATCCTAGCAGGCTGAGGTAGGAGCTACAGGAGTTCAAAGTCAGTCTAGTCTACATAGTGAGTTCCAGGCCAGCCGTGACTACAGAATAAACCTTCTCAAAAGAAAGAGAGAGGGGGAGGCAGGGAAAGGGAGAGAGAGAAAGAGACAGAGAGAGAAGTCTAGTCATAACAAGCAAGAGATATACACCCTCGGCACACCAAGAAAACACAAGCAAGGGGAAGGTGCTAGACTTGTGGAGGTGCCGAGAGCAAGACAGAAATCTCAGGAAACAAATGCATGGATGCTAAATTCAAACACTGAAGAAAGACAAGGAGACTGTGGGAAGACCTTTCCCAACAAACATAGCTCCAGGTACATGGGGAAGTGGAATTGGGAAGGGGGCTGCGACCCCAGGGGTAGAAAAGCCTTCAGGACAGAGAGAGAGCCAGGGGCATCTGATGTTGGCTGGTTGATACTTAGCCAAATCTTTGCATCCAGCGTAGGAATCCATGTCAAGGGAAGTTGGGGTCCTTCTTCCCTGGTGGACACCCAGGAGCAGTGATGCATTTCAGCATCAGCAGCGCCTGGGCTGATGACGGAAGCCCCCTTGCATGGCTGCTTCACGTTTATCATCGGCTTGCTAGCAAAGACTCTGGAAAGTGAAATTTCACTCGCACTGACGTGAGTGAGGCCAGAAGTGGGCGGGGGGGGGGGGGGGGGGCCGGCTTGCTAGCAAAGACTCTGGAAAGTGAAATTTCACTCGCACTGACGTGAGTGAGGCCAGACAATAAAATAGAAAGACAACTCGGCAGGGAAAATAAGAATACTGTTCTCAACATTCTATGAACAAAAGTAGAGTATTTTTAAAGTCTTCCGTGTCCCTGTTTGACAATCGTGTGTTTACAATAAGCCCAAACATAATTGCTGTGATGGGCTGTCAGGGAAAAGATTAATTTGGCAAAGATTAGTATTGACTTGCTGTTTATTAAGGCTTTTAAACAGCTGGATCTGGCAGCATTCCTGTAAGTGGCTGTCATCACGGAACAGCAGCCTCACACCCTGGTGCTCGCCAGCTGTTACTGCACAGTCTTCCAGCGCTAGGAACGTCTTTCTCCAGGCCAAATGGCAAGAACAACTATTATTGCCAAAGGAGACCTTCCCTCCTCCCGGCCCTAGTTTTTTTTATTTTTTTTTTTTTTTTTCGGGGGCAGGGTGGGGAGCTGCTCAGAGCTGAAATGTCAGCACAGGCCTGATGGTTTAGCTGATAAAAGGGGCCAGAAACCAGTGGTTGGTTTGGGTGCTGGGTGAACACCGCTCCCCCATACAGTGTTGCACTGTTAGTCACCTCACAAAGGCAAGAAAACTCAGCCTGTAATTGGTGTTGGCAAAAGGTTTTAAAGACAGAGATGTGCTATCAAAGGATCGGAGCCATCAGAATTCTAAAAATCACCACCAACGTCTGTCCCCCAGCTTGGGATATCCTGCGTCACTTGAAAGAGACCAGTCAAGGGGAAGCAGAGAGAAAGCTGGATAGCATCCATCAGTCTACAGCACAGGCAATGGGGAGGGGGAGCTCTGGGACTTCCATAAAGGACAAACCCCTTGGCAAAACACATCCATTGCTCCGATTCAGTGAAAAACTACAGACGGAGACCACTTCACTTGACGTCTAGAAAAGAAGAAACGGATGGAGAATTGTACGGGGCCAAGACCCAAGGTCTTTCACAAGACGCGGAAAGAACAACATTGCAGTGTTCTAAACACCAGCTTAGACACAGCTTCTACAAAGCTTCAACACAGTGGTGGAAGTCATATCAGCCTTCCTGGTATGCCTGGGGTGAGGCTTCATCTCAACATCTCTGTGTCTCATTGGGCTTTGATGAGCTATCAGAGCTGACTCACGAGGACATGGTGCTCCCTAATATTCCTCAGCTGGCATTTCTCAATGCATTAGGGCACAAGGAGGAACCAAGCTAAGAGCTGACCTTTCTAAAAAGGACTTTAAAACAGATGCTGAAGCTTCACTGAATCCCGTGCAATTGTATTTTGAAGCCAGCTATCGGTGCAGTCAGATCTTTGATGCTTAAATGAGGATGAAATCCAGACAGAACTTAAAGTATGTCCAAATGAGATACTGCTCAGTCCCCATTTTGTGCTCCGCTGCCTCCCCAGACCTATCCTCACACCATGATGAGAGCAGATGAGAGAAACATGGTACTAGACACAAAAGGCACCAGGTGGGCGCATCAGCCAGCGTGAACCTGCCTGCAGCTAAAACTCAACCTAGGAACAGGCGTGGACGTTACCTAATAATCAGCCTATGGAAGGACAGTAGGGAGTTAGGTCCTAACATAACTCTGAATGTGTGCATACCTGTATCCCCTTCCTAAGGCAAGAGCCATGTCCAGGGGTCTGTATCCCTCTGAGAAATCTGGCCACAGGATGGGCTAGGCAGATTGCACGCACTTACTTGGTACAAGGCTTCTTCGAACCCCGTACCAAAGCAACAGCTGATCATCCCAACCACTTTCTGGCTTTCAGTAGGAGGTACGGACCCTATTGCTGCTTTACCGGAAACCTAGCATTCTTGACCTAATGTGCTGCAGAAACTGCCCCAGGTTGGTTGGAGCCAGCGTTTTCATCCTGTTCCCTTTATCTGGCATTATAAAATAACTATTTATTATGCTACTTCCTCAACCTAAGGGAAAGCCTCAGAATTCACTACCACACACCACTTCTAGGCTATGTTTTTTTAAGGGGGGGGGGTTGTTTTTGGTTTTTTGTTTTTACTTTTTTGCTTTTTTAGAGCAAGGGATCATACAGAAACCCAACTCTGAGCAGGAGTTTTATACAAAAAGAGAGAAAAGAATCTCTAACCTGAACTTGAGTTCCAGGTAACATTTAAAACTGTATGCCTACAAAGCCATTCTCATTGTTGAGTGGAGTTTCAAGAGCGTGCGTGTGAGAGGAGGTGTGTGAATCTGCGTCAGACGATGTGTGAGTGTGTCTGTGAGATTTTGTATGTGTGTGTGAGAGAGATTTTTGTATGAGTGTGTCTATGAGTGTGTATATGTGTGTGTGTGTGTTTGAACATGCGTGTGTATAAGCACATGTGTGTGAGTGTGGAGGTCAGAGGTACAGTCCACTTTATGTTTCTTTTAGGCAA